GCCTCTTAACATGCATGCTTCAGCCCTCTCACCCAACTCCTCAGCTCTTATTGGGAAGCTGCTGATCACCAGCTTCAAGTGTTTTCTATCTATCGGCAGGCTATCTTTTCCTGGCACTGGCTGCTACTAATTATTATTTTACAGAGAAAGTTTAAAAGCCACCTAACCATCACCTGATGGTCAGCTGACATTCCTAGGGTTGATCCTCTCCTGCCCTGATCATGTCTGCCTAACCATTTAGTTGATATGGTTTGGCTCTGTGTCACCACCCAAAACAAATTACAATGTCAAAATGTAATCCCCATGTATTGAGGGAGGGACCTGGTAGGAGGTGACAGGCTCATGAGTGCAGTTTCCCCCATGCTGTTCTCCTGATAGTGAGTTCTCACGAGATCTGATGGTCTAAAAGTAGCACTTCCGTTTTCACTCTTTCTGCCTCCTGCTGCATGTAAGATGCACCATGCTTCTCCTTGACCTTCTGCCATGATTGCAAGTTTCCTGAGGCCTCCCTATACATTCAGAACTATGAGTCAATTAAACCTCCTTTCTCTGTAAATTACCCACTCTCAGGTACTATCTTTGTAGCAGTGTAATAACAAACTAATACAAGCAGTTAGTACTGGGAGAGTGGAGTACTGTTAAAATGATAAACTGAAAATGTGGAAGCAACTTTGGAACTGGGTAATGGGCAGAGGTTGGAACAGTTTAGAAGGCTCAGAAGAAAACATGTAGCTGTGGGAAAGTTTGGAACTTCCTAGACACTTTTTGAATGGTTTCAACCAAAATGCTGGTAGTGATATGGACAATGAAGTCCAGGCTGAGGTGGTCTCAGATAGAGATGAAGAACTTATTGGGAACTGGAGCAAAAGTCACTCTTGCTATGCTTTAGCAAAGAGACTGGTGGCATTTTGCCCCTGCCCTAGAGATCTGTGAAACCTGGAATTTGAGAAAGATGATTTAGAGTATTTGGCAGAAGAAATTTCTAAGCAGCAAAGTATTCAAGATGTGACCTGGCTTTTTCTGAAAGCATACAGTCATATGTGTTCATGAAGACATTATGTGAAATTGGAACTTATGTTTAAAAGGAAGCAGAGAATAAAACTTTGAAGAATTTGCAGCCTGACCATGTAGTAGAAAAGAAAATCCCATTTTCTGGGGGAAAATTCAAGTTGGGTGCAGAAATTTGCATAAGTAATGAGCAGCCAAATATTAATAGACAAGACAATGGGAAATATGTCTCCAGGGCATTTTAGGGATCTTCATGGCAACCGCTCAAATCACAGGCCTGGAAGCCTAGGAGGTTTTCTGGGCTTGGATCAGGACCCCACTGCTCTGTGCAGCTTTAAGACATAGCATCCTGTGTCCCAGCCACTCTAGCTCCAGCCATGGCTAAAAGGGACCAATGTACAGTTCAGGTTATTGCTCCAGAGGGTGCAAGCCCCATGCCTTGGTGGCTTGCATGTGGTGTTGGGTCTGAAGGTACATAGAAGACAAGAGTTAAGCTTTGGGAACCTCCACCTCAGTTTCAGAGGATGTATGAAAATGCCAGTATGTCCAGACAGACATCTGCTGCAGGGGTGGAGCCCTCATGGAAAACATCTACTAGCATAATGCAGAGGGAAAAAGTGGAATTGGAGTCCCCACACAGAGTCCCCACTTGGGACTGCCTAGTGGAGCTGTGAAAAGAGGCCCACTGTCTCCTCCAGATCACAGAAAGATAGATCCATAGACAGCCTGCACTATGTGGTTAGAAAAGCCACAAGCACTTAATGCCAGCCTGTTAAAGCAGCTGCAGGGGTTGTACCCTGCAGAGCCACAGGAGCAGAGCTGTCCAAGGCCTTGGAAGCCTACCCTTTGCATTAGTGTGCCCTGGATGTGAGACACAGAGTCAAATGAGATTATTTCTAAGCTTTAAGATTTAATAACTGCCCTTCTGGGTTTTGGACTTGCATGGGACCTGTGGCACCTTTATTTTGGCCAATTTCTCACATATGGAATGAGTGTATGTAATGTATATAATGTCTGTACCCTCATTGTATCTTGGAAGTAACAACTTGTTTTTGATTTTATAGGCTCATATGTTAAAAGGAGTTGCCTTGTCTCAGATGAAACTTTGGACTTAGACTTTTGAGTTAATGCTGAAATGATTTAAGACTTTAGGGAACTATTGAGCAGGCATGATTGGTTTTGAAATGTCAAAAGGACAAGAGATTTGGAAGAGGCCAGGGGTGGAATTACATGGTTTGTCTCTGTGTTCCAACCCCAATCTCATGTTGAATCGTGATCTCCATGTTTCTAGGGAGTGACCTGGTGGGAGGTGATTGAATCATGGGGCAGTTTTCCTCATGCTGTTCTTGTGACAGTGAGGGCATTCTCATGAGATCTGATGGTTTAATAGTGGTAATTCCCCCTTCACTCTCTTTCTCCTGCTGCCATGTAAGATGTTCCTTCCTTCCCCTTTCCCTTTTGCTGTGATTGTAAGTTTCCTGAGACATTCCCAGCCATTTGGAACTGTGAGTCAGTTAAAATTCCTTTATTATAAATTACCCAGTCTTAGATATTCTTTATAGAAGTGTGAAAATGCACACTATTTTGACACTTTTACTTTAAATTGGATCCATCAGTTCAGCAACTATTTATTCCCAAACTTGTTGCTTCTTTGTTTTAGAACATCATTTGAATTGCAATAAAAAGATTTGCAACAGAATAGAAAGGCTCAATTTTAGCTATTCCAATTTTATTCATATATTAAATAAAATAGTTATGGTGAAGAATTTACAATAGTTTGCTATTATTGAAATGTTATTATTTTGACTAGTAAAAGTGCCACATTATGGTGCTATTGATATAAGCAGAATTCCTAGAGATTTAGTAGTAGCAGAACATAAAATTTAGCATGTATTTCCTCACAGGTCTTACAAGAGAAGAAACTGGTACTGAGGTTTACACTAATTTTATATGAACTCTAAAGGTGGATTTTCTCCTTAAGATTGTACCTTGGTTAATGCTTTTTACCTTCAATACATCCTAAGCTAAGTGTCATGATGTCTTATTGTTTTGTCCACAGAATTAAGAGCATTTTAGCTTGCTAAAACCTACATTATTTATTTTTCTTTTTTCACTTGTAATTTTGAAAATGTGTGTGGCTGATTGGTTTATCCACTCTGTAGGGAGTAAGAGTTACATATTATATTGGACAGCAAACCTACACATCCCTGGAATGGGAAGGCATTGAGACAGATTTATTGCACAGTTAACAAAGGATTTAAGCCTTACTAAATGTCTACATTTTAAGCAGAGAGATAGTTCAAAGTAATACATTTTTGCTCTCAAACTATATCTAAACATTGAATATTTTTATGCATGCAATAAATATCTCCCTAAAACACATGGACTGGTCATTTGATACTTGGGAGTTTTTATTTTTACAGTTTGGGGAGTAAAGATTAGAAAATCACCTTCATAAAATTTGAGTTAGAAACATGGCACACGCCTACAATTAATTCTTTAAAAAAATACCTAAAGAGCAAACAAAATGAGTGGTTTAGAAATAGAACGTTCAGTCAGCTGTTTCTACATTTAAGAAAAAGCATTTCTGCTGTCTTTTCCTCTGCTGTTTCTTTGCTACTTTCCACTTCATTTCTTATGTAACCCTTCATACTGTCCTTCTCTGTTGCATTCTCATCATGTCCCCAACTCTTGGTTTTATTGTCTCTGCCTTAAAAAAGTCCTCTTTTTGAGGAAAAAAAGCCAAAAAAAAAAAAAAAAAAAAAAAGAAAAGAAAAAACACTAAAACATGACCATCACCGTACTAATATTATTTATATATATATATATATATATATATACTTATTTTCCAAATTTATTAAAATTTTAACACAGCCCAAACAAGTTTTTTTGTGAGAATACAATAGGGGAAGAGTATACTGAAACTGGATTTTACAGTTTAGAAGTAGCTTTGTAATATAACACAAATCACTTCACTTATGAGTTTTTCTTCCTATGCAACAGAGATAATACTACTTTTAACTGATTTGTGAGGATAAAATGAGAAAATGTATCCACAATTTAATTAATATAATGCAATAAATTTGTGATGTAGATCTTACTGTGAGTTCTCAGTCTTTACTATCCCAACAGAGTTTGTTTGTTTGTTTTTGCTTGCTTGTCTAAAGCTTATCTACAATATACAATGGTAAAAATAAGGGCAAAATGTTAACTTCATCATTGTTTATATTTCTAATATTTATTAAACATAAAAGAGATGCATTTGATTTGAAAGCTTATTTAATTAGTGCATTTATAATTGCTTTGGGGAGTCCATGGGATTTTGAGGAGCTGTCTCAAGAAAAGAAAGTGGGGAGATATCAGGCGGGACTTCCAGGTCTAGCTTCTGTTAAATAAAATCTTATTTTGTCTTTTTCTTTTTAATAATATATCATTAGTGGAAATGATTCATGGCCTAAAAGAACAACATAGAAATCTTTGTCTAATGGGAAAAAAGGAAGAAAAAGCAAAATAAAACAGACTATAGCTAGCGGCTTTGTCTTGTCTTCCCTATCTTTGGTTTAATAGGCGGACGGCTAGAATTTTAAAGACTTGTCAACTCCAGCAATACTTGGTGTGTGTTCTTGCGGTATAGCAACAATATTGGTATTAATTTATAAGTTGCATAAAATCCATGTTTGACATTTGTTATCTCATCTCCAGTGATTTGTTTGGAATGCTTTGGAGACAACAGACATAACAGAAATTTAGTAAAGGAGGCATATTATGTCTATGAATATATTTTAAACCTTATCTAAAAATACAATCAAAAATTAGCTTCTAGCAATAAAGCATAAATATTACAAATAATTCAATGTTGAGACATTTTTTAATTATAGCATCATTACTAATCTGGTTCTGGAAGTTACTGAATAATACAATAAATATCAGCTGAAAAATCATTAATTTTATTCCTTTTAAGAAAATTACATTGCTAATAGGTATTTACATACCGGATCATCTGGATTATACTGAATAACATACTCTATCTGTCCATTTGGTCCATCATCTATATCTGTAGCTCCATTGTCTCCTGAAAATCCTGTGAATATCGTGGTACCAACTGGAGTGAGCTGAAAGAAAAAGAAGATTTTAAATATCAATTCTCATTTTATCAACTGCACACCAGAAATGTTACAGCATAAAAATCAGCTCTTTGTAACATAAAGGAAGATACCAGTTGGCAGCCCACAACCACAAACTGAAATGTTTCAAAAGAACAGTTTTGAGTCTTACACAGGAGTTCTTAAAATGTCTGAAATGTCCAACTTCGTGATTCTTGCTATGGGTGAAGACACAGAAGACCCTGATTCAGTGTTAAACACATTTGGACCAATTTATAGCCTTTAGCATGTTAGCTCCAGTGGAAAAATTGCAACTGTTGTTTTTCCTGAAAATCCTTGATGCAATGTTACCTACAGGCTAGAATTTAAACTGTAAGAAAAAGTTAGTTTAAAATAAAAAAGTGATTTACGAGACAGCAATGAAATCCAGGTTGATAATTATATGAAAGTGGCAAGTTTGAGAAAGAGAAATTGGGGACAATGAATAGTCTGTCTATTAGCGGAAAATATTGAGAGTTTCTTGAGTGCTTCTGATACTGGTTGAGTAGAACATGATCAGGTCACAGCAGCTGGAGAGATAGTCACATCTTTTCATTTTGGATTAAAACACCAGAACTTAATGTGTGTGGCATACAAAACCATGATTTGATGTGTGACCTAAATGGCTAGTCTTAATTCTTACTTATGTCCACAAGAGAATCACTGTTATTTATTTATTTATTTATTTATTTATTTATTTATTTATTTACCAGTAGGTTTTTGCACAATGTGCTGTTATAACCAGAGCATTTTTTTTTCAATTATTCCCACCCAGTTTTTAGATTTTAGCTGAAATACTACTCATTAGTTAAATTTCAACTTAATTAGATATCACCTCCTCCTACACCACCCCTCAAATGGCATTACACAGGCCACATCAGAAGATGATGCCCCTTTTCTTGTGCTTGCATTTTGCACTTTGTTTCTATAATTGCATTGTTAGAGGAACTAAATGCACTTCATCAATAAACATAAGCTCTGTGCCTCTACAGACTGGAGCCTTTTAAAGTTTGCTCTGAGATTTGTTTTCTTAATTTTTGATTAGGATTCCTTCATGGTAAAAATAGCTTAAGAGGCAACAAAAAAGTTGTCTTATTCAATTTTATTTTCAGAAACTGAAAATTCACATTTTACAAGGATCCCTCAGGTAATGTAAATGAGTGAAGCAAGCATGATGAGATGGTGGCAAATGGATAGAACATGCCCTCTCTGATGCTACTCAGAGAGGGTAGCTGCTACTAGTAGCTGCTACTCAATCCCAGAGAATTCTTGCCATCTTGGAATATGGAGCCCAAGCTACAAAGTCTGTTAATATTTTAATCTTATGTAAAATATCTTGATGCTAAAATTAACAACAGATTTTTAAACATTAAGATATAAATAGGTAAAATAAAATATGCCCATTGCCTCAACAACCACACTAGTTTGCAATCTCTGATTTAGGAAAAGAATATGATTTAAACATAAACCATAAGTATAAGGAAGTTCAGTATTTATAAGGCCTAGTTTCCTGGCAGGCAGCATTAAAGTCAAACTTTGGAGAGCCGAGAATGAAGTGCGAAGAGATGGTTTAAATAGTAGCTATGAAGACATCGAGGCACCACTGGGGATAGACTTAGTAGAAACGTTAGTCAGCTAAATAGCTTCCAAGCTGACATTCTAATGTTTTTCTTTTTTAATGGAATTCCTGTTACAAAAGACATCCTTATCTTTTATAAATATTCACCCATTCTTATGTAACTATGCTTTGATATTTTTATTACAAATTTATTTTTAAATCAACATATAGAATTTTGTAATTTGTTGTATACAATATGTTTTTTTTTTTTTTTTTTGAGGCGGAGTCTCGCTCTGTGGCCCAGGCTGGAGTGCAGTGGCCAGATCTCAGCTCACTGCAAGCTCCGCCTCCCGGGTTCCCGCCATTCTCCTGCCTCAGCCTCCCGAGTAGCTGGGACTACAGGCGCCCGCCACCTCGCCCGGCTAGTTTTTTGTATTTTTTAGTAGAGACGGGGTTTCACTGTGTTAGCCAGGATGGTCTCGATCTCCTGACCTCGTGATCCGCCCGTCTCGGCCTCCCAATGTATACAATATGTTGTTTTAAAATATGTATACTTCGTGCAATGGCTAAACCAAGCTAATTAATATATCTATTACACACTTTTTTTGTGGTGAGAACACTTAAAATCTATTTTCAAAAATACATAGTTATTAACTATAGTTACCATGTACAATAGATTTATTGAATTTATTAGTTCAAGAAATTTAAATTTTGTATCCTTTGACCAACATCTCTCAATCCTAATCCCAGCCCCAAATAATCACTCTTATATTGTCTGTTTCAATTACTTCTACTGCTTTAGATTCCACATACAAGTGGGATCATATAATATTTGAATATCTGTGCTTGGCTAGTTTCACTTAACATAATATCTTCCAGGTTTACCCGTAATTTTCAAACTATGAAATTTTACAGTTGGCTGACATTGATTTGTTTCCATATATCTAATAAAACAAACTTAAAAATTTTGTTGCCAAAATATAATTATGTCATGGAGGTAAACATAAAAGCAAAACAAAAAATCAAAATAAAACAAATTAAAAAAATTAAACAGTACTTTCTGTGGAAATTTTGAGGGAAAAAAAGGGGGTGCCCATGCCTTTCAATCTACTTACTGGGGTAATGTATACTATTGGACCAGATTTACTTTGAAGATCAGGATCCTGAAGCCCTACAACTGAGGGAGATTAAATTCAAGACACAAACTATTGAAAAGATCAGTGTTTTTCTCTAGCTCTACATTTTTATTTTTTGAAATGATGAAAAGACCACATAAAAGTAGCATGATGTTTTAATATATTACTATCAATTAATATTTTTCTTCATTACTGATATGGCTCTTTCCATGCAGAAATCACATTTATAAGTATAATGCTTAATATATAGTCCTTTAAAATAAACTCTACTTTGTTATAATGTTTAATATGTAGTCCTTTAAAATAAACTTTTCATTGTATTTCTTTGATTGCCTTTTGAAATATATACTTGCGGACAAAGCCTACCAAAGATTGATAATAGACTACAGGAAAATAAATTGACTATGCATTTGCTTATGGTTGCAATTTTAAGCTTAATCCAAAGAATAATTCAATTTCAAATGTTCTCATTTCAGGAGTTGAGCTCATTTTGTGTATCACACATAAATTTCCCTAATCATATTTGTGTGGCCATATATACTTTTATTATTTCTGAAAAATTGCAAGTAGAAATATGATTCTATAAGAAATTTAATCAATTTATATCTTTCAATGGAAAATAAAAGAGAAACAATTGTTTTAGCTGTAGGAATACAGAAAACCTTTTTTTCTATAATCATATTATATAAGAGTTATGAATAATCCCTAAATATAATTTTAAGGTCTTTTTTAGACAAAATTTTAGGTTCCTTGAAAATTAAGTGAAAAGCATTAGTGTAATAGTAATAGATTTCAGCATGTTCTTTCATTCATGGCTGTCTTTCCTGACAATTTCAGTAAAATTTCTCCCCAGTTTCAATAATGTGGTATTTACTGGTTGACAGTGGAGGATGGGCAAGCTCAGGAAGTGTCTCAAGGTGAAATTTGCTCTCCTCCATAGTTGTACATTTAAGGCAAATGTCTTAGCACAAATCACTCCTGTTTATTTCTACTACTAGATTATGCAAGCATGTACAAATAGCCATACATACGTAAAATGCAATACAAAATGGATCAGTCATACATTTTTTCATGACTTCAAATTTCATGATCCGCTCAAATGGCAGACTTGTTCACATATGAGATAGGGTTGAGGCTAATATGAGAGAAATAGCCGAGAAAAAAGAAGATAAGGTATATGGGCAAACATGGGAGCTCTGCAAAGACTAAAAAGGCTGTAATGAAGAGGCCTATGCCAGATGCGAAAAAGCAGAAGAAAGCAGAAGCAGATAAAATGTTTTTGAAAAATAGTAGGTCCTGGCCAGGTGTCATGGTTCACACCTGTAGTCCCAGCACTTTGGGAGGATGAGGCAGGAGGATTGCTGGAGCTTAAGAGTTTTGAGAGTAGCCTGAATAACATAGTGAGACCCCATATCTACAAAAAGAGAAAAATAGACCAGCATGGTGGCACATGCATGCCTATAGTTGCCAACTACTCTGGAGGCTGAGGTGAGAAGTTTGCTAGAGCCCAGGAGGTTGAGACTGTAGTAACCCTTGATCTCACCACTACATTCCAGCCTGGGCAACAGAGCAAGATCCTGTCTCCAAAAAATAGTGGATTTCAGCATTCAATTTCATTCATTTTATTTATGAGTATGCCTACCAGAAATATGTACACACACATGTACACACACAAATAGACACGTATTTCAGAAATATAAATATACTAACACATCACTATTACTCATTACAGGGGACAGAAGACACTAGTGCTTTGTGATTTTCTGAATATTTTGTGGGAGTTGAAAATCTTCACATGACAGATTATCTATTATAATCTATATTGCCCTGTACATTATTATTCACCGTGTTCAGGGAACATCTGTCATGCAGATGGCTATGCTCTGTATCCTTTAACATGTCAACAAGTCTCAGAAATGCAAATTTGTTTTTCTTCTGAAGGACATTCTATCCATGGAATGATGATCAGCTTGGGCAGCTTCCTGAAGGTATCACTTCCTTGTTTAGTTCATGTCTGTGTCCAGAAATGATTTTATACAGTTATTGGGAATACATAAAATATATAAATAAATGCAAATGTAATAGTTAAAGAAAATCACAAACAAGAAATTCAAATATTTCAAGACGACACCAATAGTAAGAGAAATTAGAATGTGATTGTAAAAGAAGAGTAGCTTTTTTTTTAAGCCAAACCAAGAATGGCAGTGATACAAAAAGAGAACATTTGTCCTCACTAACCTTATTTGCAACATTTCCCCGTAGAATCATGATATTCA